CTCCGACGAGCATATGCATTATGCTTGGGGACAGCCCCCAGCTGAATCCAATTGCCCAGTACTACGCCTAGATATTTCGCAGATTCTCCCAATTTCAGCGTCTCTGCCTATTAGCAAGCCACTGCCTTCAACTGTGGTAAACTGTGCCTTAAAATCAACATAAAACTTGACTGCCGGGATGTGTTTGCTTATACATATGTACATATTTATGTATATGTATGTATATTTAGTATACATCGAAATTGCTTTTAAAATTATACATTTGCTTTTAAATTAAATTCATCAGTCACCAGCGTAAGTCGCATAAATTAAATACTTTTTCCTTTGATCGCATCGCATTCACCAAATTTAACGAGCCACTTTCATTCCTTTTTAGCACACAGAATCAGAGTTAGGCCAATTTAATATGTCTCAAATGATATTGATTTCTCATGGCTAATCATGTTTTGGAGTACACTCACTTAATATGAGTATTAATCCGTTGTCATTTCGAAATAAGAGAGAAATACATACATATCGTTTATTAATTGATTTTATGCGCATTCTAATTAAATGTTAGCACTATAAATTGTTTGTTTTATAAATTAATTGGTGATTAACATTTTTATGACTTTAGCATATTTAAGTAATTTTCGCATTACGGCAGTTGGCAAAGCATTGGTTGCGGTTGACAATTCGCAAAGGAGATAGTTAGTACCCCTTAATGAAAATATCACATAAGTATGTATGTGATAGTCAAAAATCAAAAATCATGACGAACTCATATGGATTCAAATCATCTTTTTTAATGAACGCGTTGTAAAAGTCACAGAGGCAATACTACCGAAGTTATCATCCAATAAGTGCGATCCTCTCGCAGACGATTACTCACAACGATAGGGAGAAGTCCAACCTTGGTATGCTGATGAAACTAAACTTGACCTAGGTATCAGCATTAAAAGCTGTCTTGAATCAATTATGTCGGTATACGAGGTTATCCTATGTTGGGTTCGGTAGACCCACTCACAAAAAGTTGAGTCTATCCGAGACTATAGCGTTCCCATCCATTATGTGGTTCTTCCAAAAGGATGTGCTAAGATGGTAGGAATATTACTAAGTTGTCACCGAAGGACGAATGACCAATGTAGAAAAGGCAATCCAACAGGTTTAAAAATGCTTCTAGTAGATCCGCGGATTGCCTCAGTTGACTTTAGATGGAGGACCCTAAGGCAAGAACTTTTATTAGTGCCTGACAGAATATTGACAAGGTGAGACTTTCTGTAGAGACGGCCAACAGATTTAGCGAAGTGGCAATGGAAACTCTGTAGCAGTGTAAGCAGATGATTATAAACACCAAAGCTTAATTGACTTTTAAAAAGAGTCAGAAATGGTTATATCCTATGAAAAATTAAGTCAGTGTATTCATAACTACGAAACTTTTTACCAACTCGAAAAGTTCAATGAAATCGATTTTCTTTAAATACTTTTCTAAATCCTCATCAAAACACAAAACAAAATCTATCAGACTAATAACATTACTTCATGGTATGCAAAACGGAATTCAGTTTAGAATATGAAAAACGTGAAAATTTTTTAATGTGGCTTATAGGCGGCAAAGTGTCAATCAGCTAAAAAGGAAAATACCAAAAAAAAAAATATTTTCGCTTCCGGCTAAGTTGACGTGTTGAATAGTCATTGACGTAAATTAAAAAAAAAAACGAAATTTAATAATTTCCTCAAAGAAATGGGGATTTTCACAGCCATTGTAATTTTTAAACGGTAAACGGTAGTTTCTAAAATGTTAAGAATTTTTAGTATAACCTCTACTTAAGGGAGATCTTCAAACCTCATTACTAGCCTAAATAGATTCATCGAAAAATCCAAATGGTTTGACGAAACCGGCGAACCATGACAGCAGAAAAAATCAAGGAATTCAGAGAAAGCGTATCAAAATGTTGCTATCAACACTAATTGGGTCCTGGGCATGTGCTCAGGCGACGCTTGCGACCTACCCATGGCGCAATAAACAGGTCAAGTAATAAAACAGCCTTCTGGCTTTACTTTCTGACATGCGGCTGCCTTATAGTCAAATTTTAAAGGTAATTTTTCAAATAAAACAGTGTCAAAATCTTTCTTCTCGCTCTAATTACTTCAACTGGTATAATTCCGCCATGCTACCTACCAACCATAGCATCTACTCATTTTTATACATAAGTTTCGGTACGAGTTTTATTATGACTATTTGATGTAAATAAAGTCTAGAAAAAGAGCCACGCAGCTGGAACTTAAGTTCTGGGGCTGTGGCATAAAATTGACTGCTAAATATAGCAACAAAAGCCAAACCTGGCCACACTACCCTAGAATATATAAATACTGGTTTTCACTTTGTGAAAATCAATGGCATTTGTAATTTTCAAATGAGACTAAACAACGTTTTATAGATTAATATGGACCGGAATAGGCCTGCGTTGCTAAATCGACTATCTGTCCGTTTTTGGCCTATAATATAACCGGTAAAAGACGGGATTAAATTCATAAAGTTGCATCAAAAATTTCCACTAAATCTGGTAGTTAAAATGTAACATGTAAATGTTACATGTAAATTCTTCTTTTGTTGAACAATTCATACAAATTACACAAATTTAATCGAGTGACTTGATTGTGTCAAGGATTTCGTACATAAAAAGCAAGAAATTAAAACTTTAATTTTTGTACACAATTTTTCGGTATAGGCCCATGGTCAGAAGTTAATTGATAATAAAAAACGCACCAGACACACGTGTAAAAACCCATTAGCGAAAGACTTAAATACTTAAATATTTACATACTTACGACTGTCCTTATTCGATTTTACATTTCAAAGATACTTTCATGGAACTTTTTAATAACTATTAAACACAATCAATTTTATAACCATACAAACGTACGCAAAAATATATTCCCTTCCAAAAAAAATTATCAATTCCCTTTGCGTTTAAAACAAAACAAGCAACAAAAAGTTTAACTACCGCTGTGCGATTTCGCATGTACATACTAACATACTAAGTATGTACGTATGTAAATTAGTCGCTCGTTCACACCTTCTTTATAATGCGGCAATTATGCAAACTAAAACAATATCAAAAAGCAACAACAAAAAATAAACATAGTCGTGCGTGTTGAACACGTTTTACCACTTTTCCGCCTTTGATGGGTTGCTCGATAAATGTTTAGCGTGTGTGGTGTAGGTATGTATGTACATAGACAGTGTGGCATTTAATTCGAGCGATTGAAGATGAGTATCAAGTTAACTAAGTAAATTGATGCGATAATAGAATGTCATGGATGCAATCGCAATGATTTAAAGCAAAGGGAGTAGCCAAACTAGTCAGTGGCAATGGGATACATTGCGCAAATACATACATACATATGTATGCAATTAATTCTCAGCTAATTAAAATGTGATTTTGTAAGCCATTATATTTTATTAAACGTCGAAAAGCGCGCTGCGTTTTTTTTTAATTATTTGTGCAAACAAGTTTGTGCAAGCCAGTTGGCGCCGTAATTGTTTGCGCAGACTACTAAATGTTGTGCAAACCTACAATAAATCTATTTTAAAAATAATCGCCGAAATGCATGTTTGTGAATTTACTTTTCCGGTTTTACATGCCATACACCTTCCGTGAATGAAAAATTCCATGCCAAACGTTCGATGTTCTACATGTGTAGTATGTACATACAGTGGCGCTCACATAAATAGCACACTTTTATTTTTTACAATATTCAAAATGTTTTGCGTGATACGTTTTTTTCGCTAATTTTGTATAAAAATTTAGTAGATTCTATAACATAAGCTATATAGGTCATAGTTTAAGACTTTGTGTACAGTTAAGGAAAATTTAACAAATTTCAAAAAAATGTCATCAAAATTTTAAACTTTTTAGTAACAAAAAATGCACAGTATAAAAAAAATTTATTTCACGCCCGAATCACGGTAGTAGCAACAGAAGCCAAATCAACAATTTTTAGAATTTTTGTCTGTCTCTCTGTCCGTCTGTCAGCCTGTCTGTTTGTATGTTTGTACGCGTATCCCTCGAAAACTAATGCATGCATTTAATACAGTTTCCACCGATGTAAAGCTAAAGGTTTAACTTAAAAAAATATAGAAAGAACAAAATTAGATAGTTGCCACCTGTTTAAAAATTGCAGTTTAAATAAATTGTTAATATAAGGGAAATATTGCAATATGGTTGTTAAAAGGAAGAGGTTTAATAAGGCTTACAGCCTAAAATATTTTTGTGAAGGTTGCCACATGTTTGAAAACTAATTTAATTTAATTCATAAGATAAATTAAATATTGCAATATGGGTATCAAACTGAAAAGGCACAGGAAAGTTAACTTCCCAAAATATTTTTTAAGAGGGTTGCCATCTGTTTGAAAACTTGTATTTAATTAAATTGATAAAATGAAAGAAATATTACAATACGGGTATCAAACAGCACAAAAATACTTTTAAGGCGCAGTGAAGCATGCCGGGTCTTTGTAAAGTATATAGTATGGACATACAAGAACTCAAAAAAAAAGTTTGAAATAATATTCGGACCTTTTTTACGCTTATTCACTTGTTTACTGAATTAACACGATACAGAAAATGTTTGAGTATGAAAAACTATTGTCTTTTGCATGTTCTTTGAAAATATATCGACAATTTGAAGTCTTACGGAAAAATTATATATACATACGAGATACTAAATTGTAGAATCTTTAATCTAAAATATCATTTGCTTGAATCGTTAAAAGTATGTCTTAAACACATTTTTAAAAATCTGATCTTTTGTGTCAGGTGATTAATTTTAATATTTTATGGCCAATTATTATTTTCCTAATCCACAAAAAAAACAGAATATTACTAAAACAATACAATAAAATGTCCTTTATTCCCCCTCCCCTGTTACAAAATCGACATAGCCTAATGTATACACTACATATGTTAATATGAAATAAAGTAGTATAACGACAAATACAAATCTCCTTTACTTACTTGAATCTTCTACAACGAAGCGCTTGGTGTGTGTCGCCTTCATATATGGATCCATTTGTTCCTTATTTATGGACATATTTAACAAATGTGTCATAAACAGAATATTCGAATAAGTTTATTAAAACTACTTCCAGAGAAGTGAGCTTTCCAACACTTTTTTTCCAAAAACCACTTTTTTTCGTAAAAAGCAAGTTAATGAGCTGTAAGAAAGAAAAATTTAATTTTCATTTAATATTATAACTAATTGGTGTTATTAGCGAACTTAATGTTTAGTGATCAGTGGAAAAATATAATGCGAAAAACAAAATTAGATCCGTTTGCATTTAACTTGTTGCTTTTCTGCAAAAACTTTCTGTTTATGCGCTTTTAGAAATGAAAACACTTTTTTATTGAAAATATCAACTAATTCGATTTAATGATTTTGGGCAATATGAAATAGCGAAATTGTTTATAGCCATACCAAATTAATGGCGCTAATTTGGACTAGAATTAAACTACAATAAAAACTCAACTAATTATAATTTATTCAAGCATCGCCTGCCTGGTTTTTTTTATATTAACGTTACGCTGCTGTGAACATGTTGGCACGAGTTGATTTAAAAAATTATATCAATAACGGTAAATAAAATTTTTGTTTATGAACTTTTGTGAAATGATTTTTCACCTATTAGCTATTGCAGAGTGCTGCGCCAGAGGATGGCGTCAACAAGTACTTTTTTTCTACATCAACCAGATAAAATTAGAATGCCAATTAATTTTTTGTTCGGTTCGGTTCAGTGGTTCGAACTAGAGATGGGTACGGGCCCGGCATTTGAAAAGGGACCGGCGCGCTCCAGTGAAATCTCGCGGGTACGGGTCGAAAAACTTGACTTCGGTAACTGAGTGGAAGATCGACCTATCTTGGCAGCCAGTTCGAAAAAGCCCTATCTCGGTATAAAACCGGTTTGCAGGCCCTGGTTTCACATACTCCCCATATTACATATGTACTACGGAAAGGACTCAATATTCTCGTTTTCGTAGAGTTTTTTATATTATTTTCTACCACTAAAAACAAATGCTTAGTCATATTTGTTG